TGGCAGGAGACAGAGGGGTTCTAACCCTCAGCAGTCTCAGGGTGGTTTGGCTAGATCGACCTTTCCAGTGCCGAGTGCGGGCTCTGGGAGAGGTAGTGAGGGAGGCTTGACTTGTTTATGACGGTTGATAGAATACATTAACGTTATGTATTGATTGATTGTGTATATGACCTATGTGTATATACGTTGTGTGTGTGGGAGGAGATAGGGGATGTACTCCACGGTTTAGGGGAAGATAGGGGATGGACCTCTAAACCGGATGTTGTTTGGGACGAGATAGGGGATGGACTCCACTGATACAGCTCATATGCTTGTCAGTTAACGTGTTGATATAGCTTATATGCTTATCTATGGAAGTGTTGATGCAGCTGATATGCTTATCTTTGGAAGTGTTGATATAGCTAATATGCATATCTGTTGAAATATGGGTACAGCTTGTATGCTTATCTGTTGAGATGTTGATACAACTAGTTTGGTTCAGATTTAGAACCGTGACTGCGAAAGTCGAGTCCGAGCTGTAGCGAGGTCCCCCGCGGGCTTGTTACAATTGTGAAATTGATAAGAAATGGAAAATGAAATGAAACATGAACACAGTGGTCATGAAATGGAAATGAGTTATGAATTGGTTTATGTAAATTGAACATTTATCAATTGCTAATGTCTTAGTTATTGCTCATACTGTGTTTAGCATATTTCTACTGGGCGTTGGCTCACCCTATATGGGACATTATTTCAGGTACAGGTAGTATGCCACCTCCAAGGACATAGCTTGGATGATGATGAGAGTTGAAGACTCTTTTGTTTATTTTGTTCGTATTACATGTATATCAACCCAATGGCTTATTTTGTATAGAGTTAGTACTCTTCTTTTGTGTAACCAGGTGTTGACTTGGAAAGCTGTAAGCCCTTAGGGCATTTGCTTTTATTGTTAACATGTAATACTGTTGTAAGAATTACTCTGATGAATAGAAATGGTTGGTTTTTTTTATATCAATGCATGTCTATAGTGATGGGTTTTATGTATTATTTTGAGGGCGTTACAAATTGTGTGAGATTTAATGCATTTTTTCTAACTCATACTGGATGTTGGTGTAATTTAATTTTTGTCAATCTATTTATTTGTTATTTTTTTTCTTAAAAAAGGTAAATTACACTAACCTACCTTAAGGTTTGGAGAAATATTGCAAGTCTTATAATTTTTGTATAATTATCATGACTTTCTTTTTTAGTATGGACAAAAGGGATCGGAACTTACCCAAAAGAAAAGAAGATCAGAAATGATTTAGATGGTGTGAAAACACAAAAATGAATAATAAAAAAAATATATTTTGTAACGCCCCCATTTTCATGCCCAAATGGTAATATAATGATCATGGCTCTTTAAGATAAAACTAATCATAAATCCTCATACTTGCATTACATGAAATAAATAGTTTTCTTGTAAGAATTAAATTAATTTAACAGCACTTAATTAAACAATAAATACCCTAAAGGGTTTACAAGTTTCCGAGGCTTGAGCCTAGTTACACAAAACGGTTATTCAAACCCACACACAATAAGCCCTTGGCTTGAAATCAGAGTCACAGCAAACGAGCACATTATGCTCTCTACACACACTTCCACGCCTTCAGTTAAGTGATTCGGATATTGAAACCTATATTCATGTATATCTTTGTACATATATTCATATTTTATTATGTTATTCAGCTGTTAGAGATACCATCGAGAGCCCGTTCACAATCTCATCATGAGGCATTGACCCACGCATTAGAAGAGGGGGATACCTCTTCACGTCCTAAGGTGACTAGCAATCCGCCACCACCTCTCAATGTGGAGCCTCAACTTGAGGTGACTGCTGGTAATACAATTGGTAAGACACACTCTTTATTTACATTGATTTGAGATCTTAATTAAATTTGTTCACATACTATTTCAATATTATGGCTTCACGATATCAGCTGCTAAGCGTGCTCGTGGCCCGACTCGAGGCAAAGAGGTTTAAGGCCTTGTTGATAAAGATGGAAAGCTTAGCGTGCCTATCCCTCCAGAATTTCGTGCACCGATAGGGGACTATGCCTCAAAACTAGCCTCAAAGATTGGTGTAGAAGTGCGGACTCGTTTACCAAATCCAAGTGTTCGTAGGTGGAAGTATGTTGATGCCTCCGTTAAGGAGGCGATGTTTCAACGCTTGAATGTAAGTTCGTTGTCTACTTATAGGAGATTTTACTCATTTTTATAATAGGTTAAAAATCTTAATTATTTATTGTAATTATTTTATTTTTTATAAGAATTATCTATGACTTATCTATTTTTTGCAGGATCAATTTGATTTACAAGGAGACCTTGTTGATATAGAGAAGACAATGAACACAAAATTTGGTCAGAGATTGAGTAACCATACCTATAGGCTGCACAAACAATTCATGGAGCTGAAGGAGGCTAAAGGGGAGGAGTATGCAAGAAACCACCCACCAAAGAATGTCGATCCTACCAAGTGGATAGATCTTATTGATAAAAAGTGGAACACTAAAGAATTTCTGGTAACATTTTCATCTTTTTTATTATATTAGCGAAGAAAGAATTTGATTAGAACAGGGAGAGATTCTAAAACAACTAGAAAGAACACAATCAATTTGCTGTGAAATTCCATATGTATTCTTTTCCCTTTATCTTCTAGGCATGTAAGTGGAACATAATAAAAACAAATAAGTGGAAAAATGAGAAAGGGAAACTATTAAACATGGATTGGAAGGCTCGCATAATAGGAGATTAATTTATGGTTCCTTAAAGTGCATCTTTCACATCATAGACTAAAGAACTAAGATTTCAGTTTCTATGATTGTATTAATTTTCTGTTTGTTCTTGGGTTTGGTCTGAAGTTTCATGATAATGGTAAGCAACTAGCTAAGTAACTAATATAGGGTATTGAGACAGAACTTTAGATTTGATAGAGTTGCGGAAGAAAGAAAGGGTTATGAGTTTGGTATCAGTAATTGTTCCATATCTTGTGAAATGTAAATGGATTTTTTCACAATCTATCTTGCCCATGCTTATATGCCCCCTATTTGTGAACGGTGTAAATTATCGTTTTTCTTTTTTCACCCAGAAAAACCATCTTATGATGAAATCTCAACAAGTCCTCTAATATATTTTTCACAGAATTGAATGAAACTAGTGAATAATTTGAAATATCTTTTAAGTTGAAATGATATATAGGAAAATGATAGAGAGGAACAATGCAATTTCTATATTATCAACCATTAAATTTGTTTTACTAGTGATACATTTCATTGTTATATTGGTTCATTATTCCTTATAGAAATCAAAAAAGCCAACATATTTGTCTTACTAATGATACTTTTCATTATTATATTGGTCATTCTTCCTTATAGGAACAATCAAAGGCCTACATCGCGAACAGAGAAAGGATGTATACAAAACATAGGTGTGGTTCTAGGTCAATCCCTGTTAGAGTAGAAAAACTGGTACGTATCCTTACACTTTCAAAATTATATTAGATTCTTAGCTTTATTTATTGAATATTTGGTCTATCGAATTAGGCACGAGAAAAGAAGATGCTACCTGATCTAGCAGAGTTGTACAAGGAAACTCACTATAATGAGAAAACACATGAGTGTATCTCATCTCAAGCTCAGTGTAATTATGTGAGTATATATTGCAATTTTTATTAACAAAATTTTAGAATACTATTTGTTATAATCTTATTTAATTTTCTAATATATTATTAATTTTTTTTATATTTGATAGGAAAATATGATACAGACACGGCTGATCACCTCTCACAGCCAGGATCAACCCCTTTGACTGCAGAAGAGCTATCAATCAAAGTCCTAAGCAAGGTCTGGCTATGTGAAGGGACTTGGCATGAGACCTTCATCCTCTATTAGGAGAGCCACTACCATATATGCTGAAACAAATGATTATGTGAAGCGCCTTGAGATGCAAATAGAGACACAAGGAACAAATATAAATGCAGAACAATAAAATAGAAGATCTTGAAGAGGTTAAGAAGAAGCAAGGGGAGATAATGGCTGATGTGTCAACTTTTTGAGGACCAAAGGATTCACTGGACACTTTGGAAGTGGAGGGGACTCAATCCACAAGTGGACATACTTCTTGGTAAAGTATATTAACTTTAATATAACAAATTTTATAAAAGAATACATGTTTGAAGAATTAGGAAGTAATGGAAACATGCATATGACATCCAATTTGTACAGGTGCACATGATGTATAAATTGTGAATTAGTCTAAAAAATATATTTTTTTTCTCTATACTTAAAGCTTGAAAAAAGGCTGTCGAAATGCTAAATTATCACACAATTATAGATTTGTACAAGAACCAATAGAAACACCTTACGAGGGACCAATATAAGTTGTATGAACTTACGGCACATTAATGGGATGCACCATTTGTGAATTAACCTTAAAATTAATTTTTTGTTCTCATAATCTAAAAAAAAGTCTGTTACAGGGTAAAATTGTATAATTGATCTAATTGTAATTGATAGTTACTAATGTTTTTAATCTTTTGTATAATTGATTAATTACTAAAACTTTTAATTTATTTTTTTGCAGATTGGATTGGGGTGGCATTTTTGACGTGCAACAATGATGTAATTTGTTTGAATGTTCATTTTTGTTTGATAAGGATACACATACTTTTTGGAGTTACACTAGTTATTGTTGGATTTTTGGTGGAATTGAACAAGTTATAACTTTTGGATATTTTGTGGATATTTCACTATTTTATTATATCAGGATGAAATTATTTGTAATGATGAATGGATATCTTCATTTTCTTAATTCGTAAATGTGTTGATAACTGGTTAGGTTAAGTTGTGATGGAATTGTTATATTCAACAGGTTTCAACATGAACAGGGTCATATTTGTTGAACTAAAATTTAGATTTTGATAAAATAGGTATATAATGTGGAAAAAAATATTATGGAATTATTGACAAAATTTTTCATCCCTAAAGAAGGTTTTTTTGTCTCTTATTTGGCTTAGGTGGATGATTAATTTTGTCATGAATTCTTTATTTCGCCGCTAAATGAATTTGTCGTGACAAAAAATATTGTCACATTTTGTCACTATTACCCTCAATGTGTGACGAATTTTTTTTGACATTATTTTATCATTTTTAATGATGAATTTGTTTTTGTCTTTATTGGTAGCTTCTTTGACAAAAAATTTTCGTCTTCGTTTATATTAAACGTGACAAGATTATTTCGTCTCTATTTCTTATATTTATGACGAAATACTTTTGTCTCTAATTTCTTCTTTAATGACAAAATATTTTGTCGCTAATTACTTACAAGTATGTTCCCAACAAAGTGTATTGGAGACAAAAAAATTCGTCACAAATTTATCATTTTCAATGACGTTTTTTTTTTTCGTCTCTAAGACCCTTTAGCGACGACCTTTTGGAGACAAAACGGGTGACGAAAAATGTTCGTCGTAATTAGTTTGGGTGACGAAATATATACATTTTGGGACAAATTTGTTTCGTATTTAAATCCCAAATTTGTTGTAGTGGGAGCTAAATCGCATTAGTTCAAGTTATTTACAAAATTGCCACTTAGTGGACAATCCTAGGCCATTGTTTACCCTCCATGTTATATATTTGAGGCATCATTCCTTCAGCCATTTCTTTAGACAAACCGTATGAGAGAGGAGAGTGAGAGAAAGAACTTAAGTTCATCAAATTTAGCTTGGGAACTAGAAGAAATTGAAGAGAGATTGCATATTTGAGCTTGTATACCTTGAATTCAAGACCTAAGGTAGAGATTTCACCTTCTCCATTGTGAATTTGAGTTGTGTCTTGCAAGGTTAATGGTAATTTAGAGTTTAAAGTCAAGGATTAATTTAAAGAGTTGAATTATGAGCTAATTCATACATGCATGTTCATATTCTTGCATTTTGAGGTAGTTTTGCATGAATTCCTTGCATGCATGTGTATATTTTGAATGTAGTCCATGAATTCACCATGTTCTTAAGCTTAATATTGCATTTGGCCAAGTTTTAGAGCACTTGATTCATAAGAGTTCTTGCATGTTATTGTTTTACATAGTTCATGAGAGTTTCTTTGAAATTGTGTTCAATTGACTCACCCTTGGGCTTTGATTTTATAAATTGATCTTTGAAACATGTCATATTATGGGTTTTGAAGTGTTTTCCAAAAAATTAGCCCAAAAGGATCGGATTTGATGTGTGAAAAGTTGAGTTTGTGCTTGGAGGTTCAATCTAGAAATTCCAGATTTTGGACTCACGCTCGAGCGTAGGACTTCACGCTCGAGCGTACACTCTGAGTCTTGCACTTCCGTTCGAGCGTGGAAAGTCATGCTCGAGTGTTAAATGCATGTGCCCAGAAGTTCATTTGTTTTGCAGTCCGCTCGAGCTAGAGAGTTCACACTCGAGCGAGGACCTGAGTCTCACGCTCGAGCGTGGATCAAGCACCCATCGAGCATGATTTTTGTGCATCCAGTACTTTTGCTTGAGTTTGCAGTCCGCTCGAGCTGGGAAAGTCACGCTCGAGCGAAGCTCCTTTGTCTGCATGTCCGCTCGAGCGTAGAAAGCTACGCTAGAGCGAGACCCCTGTTTTCTGAAAATTTTGAAAAGTGTTTTAAAGTGCATCTTTGCATCCTCTTTCCATCCTAGGCATTCCTAGGCCATGTTTAAGGCTTCTTAATGAGGATATTGATGTGGAACCACATCGAGTCAAGTTAGGGGTTAAGTTATTAAACCCAAGTGTATAACTTAGTGTGTGTTCGTTCTGTAACTGTAGGGTTGGCATCCGAGGACGCTCATTAACTGCTTAGAGCCCAGTGCTCTGTGAGTAACAATGTTATAAAGATATGTTCAATTATGAATATTTTCTGAATGATCAACTGTTTTGTTTACTGAAACACTATTGTTTAATGAATGAATGTTTGTCCTATTTGTAAACTGTATTCGTGGCATCCATAGCAATTTACTGTTACTGTACTGTTACTGCTACTGTTACAGAGATCTCTGTCGGTTCCCATGTTTGGAACCATTATTGTTTACTGTTATGATGGCCATCAACTGACTGTTCGGTCTATTAAGACCTACTCTACTGTTTTGCTATTGGATGTACTACATATAACTGCTATGGTTACTAAATGATTGAAAGGACATTCATTCTTAACCTCTTTACACACTGTTATTCACTGGGCTTTAGCTTACTGTTTATATTTATATGTAGGTGTCCAGGCACCAAATCGGAGTTAAGAGCGTTGGGTTAGCTCTCTTTTTGTCAAGCCAACCATTGTGCCTCACCTCAAGGTTCCAAGTGCTGCCAAGTCAAGGCTGTTTTGGGGTGTTTTAGATTTTCCCTTTTTGCCTCTGTTCTGTAATAAATGTTAAGACTTGCGCTGTACTGTTATGGTAGGGATTTGGTCCCTAACCTGAATGTTTGTATATATGACGTATGTATACGCTGTTTTGGTTTTGAATGTGAATATGTTCAGGACAGTCTTTTTGCATTCAGAATGTCACAGCTCATTGGACACCTTTTATTTACTGTTTTGACTTCCGCTAGCCCCTGCACTCTGTATTACTGTCTTGACAATTAAGCAGGCCTTCAGTAATATCGGATTACTGGCCAGTTACGGTGCTAAACCCGTAGGGGTGGGTTTGGGTCATGACAGAATGGTATCAGAGCGATACTAAAGCACGAGTTATACCGCACACACGTGTCCAAGTGAGCTATAGGATGCCCTAGAAAAGCGATTAGGGCATTGCATGAGCATTGAAAAAGTGTGTGTGGCCATGACATGAATAAATGTGCTAATGTGCTAATGTGTTTAAGTAAGCAATTCCTATGTTTATTATTACTGTATTGCATATAGTGAAATGGACAATGCAAGGAATGCCGATGAAACAAAATCATCTGATGCCAGAATAGCAAGATTGGAAAGAACAGTTGAACTGTTGACTGAGGCCTTGAGTCTACAACAGAACCAACAGCCCCCACCTCCTCCAGTTCAACCCGAGTAGAATGTTAATGATGATATAATTGCTCTGACACAGAAGTTCAGCAAAATGAAACCACCATCCTTTTAGGAAGGCCTTGAACCACTAAAGGCCGAAGCATGGGTGCTAGAAATGGAGAAATTGTTCGAGGTATTCTCGTGTTTTGAAGCACATATGGTGCTATTGGCTACCTTTACTTTGCAAGAGGAAGCTAGACGGTGGTGGATGCTCATTCGTGACACCGACACTGTTATAACTTGGGCTCAGTTTAAGGGAGCCTTCTTTGAGAAATATTTTCCTCAGTGTGTTAGGGATCGTAAGGTAACTGAATTTGAACAGTTAAAGCAGGGTACCATGTCAGTAGCAGAGTATGAATCAAAGTTTACCGAACTCGCCAGATATGCACCACACATGGTGGACACTAATTACAAAAAGGCCAGGAAGTTTGAAGGCGGCCTTAATGTAGAGATACTTGACAAAATCAATGTGCTGAAATTACTGAAATATGTGGATGTTCTTGATCGAGCAATAATGGCCGAATCGAATATCAAAGCATTGAAACAGACTGAAACACCAACGTCTGAATGGCGTGGTAAGAGATGGGGTTTAAAGTTTAAGAAGGGTTGAAATAACTCATTGAACAAGAAGCAAAATACATGGTCAACAACCAGTTCTAACCAGGGAAACAATTTCATTCCGCCCTGCTCCGAATGTGGGAAAAGACATAAAGGGGTTTTTTATAAAATTTTTGGTGCTTGTTACAGGTGTGGCAAGGTAGGCCACATGGTTAAAGATTACCCTTCCA